TATAGTCTTGAAAGCATATTGGTCAATAAAGCACAACAAGTGGACTCAGATGTAACTGTATGAACATGATACAGCATCTGTTTATCATGTGTTTTGATCACATGTGATGTAGGTCTAACAGGCATCTAAGGACAAGCAGATATTAAGTTCAGAATCTGAGAATAGATATTGATTCAACACCACTCTGCCAGTTCAAATCAGATAGACACTCAGATGGCCTATGCAGATTTTTCTTAAAAGTAGCAGCCCAATTTATGTCAGCATTTAATGCAGGTACAGACAAGGCAAGTGAGAGTCATTTTTATACAAGGAGTGCTTCTGTAGGATTTAGGGAAAAGGAAAAGAAACCAGAATACTTGATTTACTGGCCTCAGAGGAAAAGCCTGTCTCAATACAAATATGAAGTAGATTGCCCTCTTGCAGCATCTAATACCATGATATTGAGAAAGAGAAGACTACAAGTCTTGAGTTGAAGCTTGCATCCATGGATTTTTGGCTTTAAGCCAGTGAGCTTCAGAAATGCCACAGTCATCCAAAGTGGTCTCTTAGAGTGCATATCCAGTGAATTCTTAGACAGCATGTCACTGGACAATATCATCTCTCATCTCCTGTTTCACTCAGAACCTATCATCTATAGTCTGACAGGAATGTCAGAAAGTCTAGTGAAAACAAAAATAAGTGAATGCTATTCATAATACTATCCAGAGCACTTGCATTATATAGATCTTCATTGAAATGCTCTAACAAGATATGTGAAGCCCAGATATTATTCCACTTGGCTACTGAAGTTGGAATAGCAAGGTCTATCACATCTGAGAGAGTCATGTAGACTTTGTCAGTAAGCTTATTGCATTCTGGTAGGGTTGATGACTCCAGACTGACAAGGCAGAACAATATTTCACTATATGTTGACATGCCCTCAAAGCATTCACATGTGTAATTTTGCAAATTCTGAGAATACATTAAGTGTATTTGAGTCTACAACACATATGAAGGCCACTATGACTTGCACACAAAGGAATGGTATGACTGTATGCAAAGTAACAGTATGACCACACATAAAGGAATGTAATGACTGTGTGCAAAGGCTGTTATGACTAGTGCATGATGAAATGAGACTCAGCAGTATATCTGATTAGAATGATGATTGATGGAGTGTATGACTTGATAGCAGAGTGATACCAGCAGGGTCCTACTGCACATGAAGTCCCAGCACTTGGCACTGAATGCATGGATATCAGCATGCAGATATGTGCTAAAAATAGAAGAAATATAATTGAAATGATGATCAGAGCTAAGATCAACACTTTGCATCACAGTGATCAATAACACATAGACATGTGGCACAGAGAAAGACATGCTCTAGACTAGAGGTATAAGGCACAGCCATATAACCCTGAATATTTGAACAACTGGCTGAAAGAGATGATACTGGAGCAAAATAGCAGTCAAGAAAGATAAAGCTAATGATCTAGAATGCATACTGTGTATGGTCTAATGGCTCTGAGAAGATAAGAAAGTGAAGAGACCTGTGGCTAGACTAAACAGTCAAGCTAATCAATGTCAGATTGCATAGAAACAGCAGGCCCAGCTTTTAGTCAAAATAAAATATGGGTGTCAAATAGTGACATGTGTAGGAATACTCTCATGGGACTCTGAAACAAAGTCCCACACATTGAAACTACAGTTGACTATTTTGGAATGCATGATATTGAAATGCATGAATCTGACTTTGCATATAGATTGGGCTGGAACACAGTTAGAGAGCAGAAAAATGGGCCAGAAATGCATATTGCATAATACATATGGTTCTAGTTAGAAATATGCATTGTCAGATTCAAAATTGTAGTAAGCTGATATGACATTGTGCATGTATTAAAACAATCAAGAATATAATTTGTTTGTATAGACTATGACAAACATTAAAAAGATTATTGTAAAGCAGTCCAGCCTATATCTCTATAAACATATCTTCTGAACCAATATGAAAACCATGTGCTAAACCTGAGATTTCATATGAGCATACAAAACAGAAGAAGAAAGTCTCAACTTACACATCATTGGCTCAGCCTCTAAAGCAGATCTCCCACCCACACCTCACAACAGGAGACTGGCACTGGCTTGTAGTATTTAAACATGTTTATGACTATTTTTTCCATTGACATACTGACATTGTGGCACATTTTGCAAACTGAAAGGAAGATGCATTGCTTTTTACACAACAAACCCTTTCATAGATGAGCTTATTTAAAAGCTGAAGGCATTTTATGTTTTACAAGATGACTAAGATAGATTAGTACCACAGCTGAGAAAGTTGAGAGGAGCATTATTCAAGGAGATGCATGGAAAGCTGATCCAAAAGCCACTCACAGTATTTTGGGACAATAATGATATAGAGATGGATTAGATAATATTGCACAAGTCACATGTCACAACATGTGCTACTTTGATTCTGCATAAATCAGATCCACTGTGTACAAATAGCAATAGCATGTGTTATGATTTTTTCTTTTTCTTTTTTGATTAACCTCTATTTATACTTAGTCAGAGTGTCTAGCCCAGCACTTACAGACCATGGGATATACTTAGTCACTATAATAGGCAGAGTCAACTATTGTCCTTTAACAGCAATGACACTCTTGATGATAGACAATACTCTTTTATAGGTAGTAATGATACTCAAGGACAATGAGCACTATAGTATAGAGACACACAATTAGTACATATATTTTTATCTAGTTCACAAACAGTATATAAGTAGCATAGCTCTTGCTGTACATACTCAGCTTTGAGCTAAAGTTTATCTTCACCAGTCTACTTTGAGCCAATTAGTCTTTGGTCTTGAGATACAGTGCCTTCCATACACATATAGTGAATTCAGATGTGACTGTATGAACTCAATACAGTGTCTGCTTATCATGTGTTATTGGTCACATGTCACTTGAGCTTAACAGCATATATATAACAGTCTGAGATCTCTCTAAGTCTCAAAGCCTTTTATTTAAACAAGAGGGGCAATAAGTATTGCTGAACCTCAAGGCAAGGATACTGTATCACTATATAATACTCTAAAATACTCTCATAAAACCCTCAAAGTCTCAAGCACTGCTCAGACCAAACTCAAAAACCCTAACACACATAATACATGACTTAAAGCTTCATGCTCTAAGCAGAAACACTTCACAAACATATTCACAAGCATTAAAAGGTTCAAACCTCTGTGTATAAGTTTCCAAACTGATTATAGATCTACAGGGTTCAAACCTATGTGATTCAGAGACACAAAAACACAATAAATCCTGTTCACAGACTCAAAGGATTCAAATCTCTGTTGATCTGCAAAAATAACTAAAAAGCAGGCACTAATCAAGCTAAAGAGTTTGAACCTCTGCCATCTATAGTGCCTTGCATCACAAATATCTCAAAAACTCAAAAGAGTGCTCTCTAGACACTGCTCTCATATTCTCAGACTAGAGTCCCACAGGAGCTTTCAATGCCTCACACAGTTCTCAGATCTCTCTTAATGATCTCAATATAAGGTTTATTCTCTTGCCCAAAGTTACAAACTCAAATCCAGAGCTAGAGTGCAAGGCCTTCATGTCTAATACACTGCAACTGTGGAGGGTCAAAAACTTGTCTTCCACTTGTTACATCATGGTATTTAAATAGGCTATTACAGTACTTACTAAAACAAACTTAATATAATACAGTTGACTCTTGAAATACAAAACACATATAATCATCAAGATTCAGTGGCTGAACCCATGAGCCAGATGCATATTTTCAGAAGAAGAGGCTGAGCTTAATGACTTCATAGGAGTGCTCACTCAAAGTCTGTCAATCTTTCTTTTATAAGCATATTCCAAATCTTGATTTTTCATATTCAGACTACAAATGTGTTGTCACCAATGCCAGTAAGAGTGAAAGTCCATTGGTCAATGCCCAACCCCAATCTTATAATGTCTATCAGAGTAACAAGTTTCTCATTCTGGATGGATGTTACAATGCAACTATATACAAACAAATGATTGTATCATCTATTGAACTCTTTTATTCTGTGTTTGCTCAGTTTTGTGCCAATCTTGCAGACACAGAGATCATCATCCCTGAAGATGTCATTTGTGATACTGTGAGTCTCATGCAGTCTAGCTCTGCCATCCAGATGTTCAAACAACCATGTATCCAGCAGGCCTAGACATTTCTATCTAACATTCTTAAGCAATCCTTCCACCAGGCCATTAGCTTGGATCATATATCAGCAGACCACATCACTTTCTGTGGAGATATGACTGTCAATGAAATGGCTGCAGTTATCATCACAGAGAAGAAAGTGAACTTGAAGATGATAGATCAGAGCCCTCTATTCTGGGTTTCTTCTTCTAAAATTCTGAGTTAATGTAAATGTAGGCTCCTTACATCACTATGTATTGCTGCTCTCACTGACTGTACTCTCTCACACAGCATCAGCAAATTCATGAAGGCTGCTACTGTTTCTGTTTCTTTGTTGGTGTGGAAGGACTGTAGCTGATAGTATTAGGAGCTGTGTTCATCAGCCAATCATTGTTCAATGTCTTACAGACTATTTGTGGCTTGAAAACAGTCATGCTGATGATGACCACATTCTTTGCATTTCCCATATACTCTATACCCTTGAAGGTTCAGTCAAAGAGCTTAAAACTTACTATGAAAATCTGAAATCTCAGCCTCTTAAAGAGAACAAGCTCCATCCTCATTTTTTTCCCTCAATTATCTCTTATTGTTTTGATAACAAGAATATCAGCTTCACCAACAGTTTGCCACTGGAATTGGCTGAAACATGTGTGACATTTTTAGCCACTTTAGATGCAGAGAGGCAGAAGAAGATCATAGTCAAGTTCATCTAGCATTACAGTGAAGAAGCACACAGAATTTTGGCAGTGCTTCAGCTGATGCTGATGCTTCTCTATGTTGGACTAATTGATGGGTGTGGTGGGTGTGGCATCTCATAGAGCAAGCTGTAGATAGTTGTCATAGAATACATACAAGGTCAGACACTTGCACATGCTTATAGTGATGAACCCTTACTGGAGGATGTCAAGATGACTATCAAAAAGGGTCTTGACATGCTTCACAATGAAGATCTTGTTTTTGGAGATCTTTATAAGCAAAATGTCATAATTGCAGATGAGACTGATGAAGAGAGTGGGAGTAATAGGGTTAGGTTTATTGATTTTAACTGGACTGAAAAGGCTGGAGATGTCAGATATCCTCTTCATTTGACCTTTTGCATATGTGATATCTCTGGCATGTTGGAGTATGATCTCATACAGAAAGATCATGATATCAAGATGCTGGATACCTTGTGACATCTAGACTCACAGAAGCAGAGTGGGTGCACTTGCCCTATTGTAACATGATGTACAGTCAACTCTGTAATAACTCAGACCTGTATAAACCCATACTCTATTATAATCCATAGCTTAGAGTATTGACCAATTTTATTTGCAGGAAAATAAGGTTGATAATCCATAACTCTGTTATAACCTATAGTATTTTCAGAAAATCTGCTCTATATAAACTCACATAGTAATGATATATTGTTCTATTACAGGTAGTTAATATATAAGCTTTCTTTCAACTGCTGAGATTAATGATATGTCATTCTATTACAGTACCTGTTCTCTTCTGAACTCATTTTCCATTCACCATGTCTATTTACCTACCTTATCAACTCCAAGAGTATTCACCACTCTTGTCCTTCTGGAACTCAGTGATATTCATTCTGGATGGATATTCTCAGCATGAGCTTTAAACTGTGTGAACACTGCTGGAGCATCACTTTTGTGCTTCAAAAGAGAGACATTCTATATATCACATGTAGCATAGATGAATGCTACTCAGTATTGATAACTTTCTGAAATTTCAACTAGCATTTGATCTTTAAGATCACTGTAGCTATTAAGGTCAAGTGATATGTGATCTAAACACATGATAAACAGGTGCTGTATTGAGTTTGTACAGTCACACCTGAGTTCACTATATGTGTCTATATGGTGTTGTATTCCAAAGCCTTTGCAAGTGGCTCAAGGTAGAATGGTGGAGTGTAAACTTTAGCTCAAAGCTGGGTATCTACAGCAAGAGCTAGCCTACTTATATACTGTTCATCCATCATGATAAATATACTGCTACTAATTGTGTCTGTTTGAGTCATTATACTCTTTGTCCTTGGGCATCATTGTGTCAGAAGACAATGACAGACTTGGCCTTGTTGTGATGACTAAGCTTATCTCATGGTCTTAAGTGCTGGTCTAAGTGCCATGACTAAGCATAAATAGAGGTTAATTGAAGGAAAAAGTGAAAAATTGTAACAGTAGCCAAATTCAAAAAGATGTGTTTATCACTTTGAGAGATCATAAGGGTTGTTGTGACAGCACAATTTTAGCCTCTAAATTATGCCCAGCCAAGGCTTGGTTTGAGGCACTGAGACAAAGACTTGGCTTGAGATTGCTAAGACTTTTCTATACAGTATTTAAGTCAGTAGTATACAGTGATATACTCTAGTCTCCAGCTAAGGTCAATATACTAATCAAACTCCTAAACCCTTGATGTGACTACCACTTTAGTACCAACACTGAGAGTCATAGTCTATCAATCTATGTACTTTCTCTTCTTATCATCATTCTACATATCATCCTCATCATCATCCTTCTGCTTTACCTTCAGTTAGTGTCAGACTCTGACTGTTGCAGTGCATTGCATTTGTTTGGTTGTCATCTGATATGACAATGCTGTTTTTCAGTGAGATATAGAGGACATATTAGATTAAATGGAGGTCCTGGCTCTTGCTTTATTTCTGTAACTAGCTGCTTTGTATATATTCATTGTATTGTATTAATGCTCTGATAACCATATAATTTGTGCCAGAATGTATCATCTATGCAGCAGATACTTTTCAAACTTGAGTTTGCTGATTCACAAAAAGATTGTGTAGTTGTGTTGATATAACCAATGTTATTATTGGTCACAGTTGCAGTGAAATGAACTCTATCATCTTGACAGAAGGTGATATCTGATCCAACAATAGAGATCTCAAACACTTTTTTTGCAAGTGAAATAGTAAGATATTAATAGATTGTTGTGCAGTACTGGCACATGGAGAGCATCAAAGAGCTCAACTACTGCAGATCTCTCTCTTTCAAGCTCTGGCTCCAGTATAATTGTCCCAATCTCTTCTAAGTAGATGACTGTATTATCTGCAAAATGAACTGAGATAACATGCAGAGCATACAAGTTGAGCCAGTGATGATGGAAGATCATATAATGAGATGAATCTATATCAGTATTTTAATGAAATACAGCAGAAGATGATAAATCAGTACTTGCTTGGCTAATGATCTTCTTCATTGCTTTAGTAGAACTTGCAGCTTCTTTTTTGCCAGTCCCCTTTTATCAATGTCTTGCAGTTATATATTCTGCTGCATGCTTCTGATCACATTTGAGAGAGCACTTCTTGGTCTCACACACTCTCTCACTGTCACCTTTATGAAGGCACCATCTACATGTAGGCTTTGTGCCAGTTGGCATCAGATCTGTAGGTGATAGGAATGTAGTGGCTTTAAGAGCAACATAAATGGAAGGATCACTAGCATATAGCTTTTGATTGTTCTCCATTATAGTATGCAGTGCTGAGATCTTTGAGAGTGAGTTTGTCAGAGAAGAGAACAAGCAATATGAGAAAGTTGCTGTATTCAGGCTGAGAGAGAGCACAGATCAGAGCTATAATGAGCAGTTCTTGCTGCAGTCCAAAGTGAACTGGATAGAGAGCATAGATACAACTCATGATTTGTGAACTGCAGCTGACAAGATCTGGAAGTGATTCTTCTGTCTCCTTCTTAAGGTTGAAAAAGCTGTTATAAGCAACAAATTGAGTTGCTAGCTTCTGTTGCTGATAGAGTGTCTTCAGAGTGTCCCACATCTGTTCTGGATTATCAAGATACTTTTCAACATGTATCTTCAATGACTCATTAAGACAAAGATAGATTGTACTAGCAACTGATATCTTTGTTTTCTTTCACTTCTTCCAATCCTTTTTCTTCTGATATATAAGATGGTGTGGGTCAGCAAACTCTGGTTCAGGGTCTTTTTTGATTGTGATGAGATACTTATGATAGGTCTTCAGTAGGACTGATATGTTTTGTCCCATTCACTATAATTGGAACACTCAGATTCTCAAAGTCTTTTGATCAAGTCAAAAGATGATATGATGTATGTATGATAGATCTAGTGATACTTCAGTGATAGAAAGAAATGGTGGAGCTTTTTGGAGGCCTGAGCAGGATGCAGAAGATCTTAGAGGAAGTAGAACCCAAAACCTGTTGCTGATATAAAGTGCAGTGGACAGAGTATGCTACTTATCTGAGATGATGGTCAATTGCTTAGAAAGCAATTGATGGTCCAGGAATATTACTTAGAGTTTATATAAGATAGTCATACTTGATGAAGTATAGTATCATCTCACAACAGCTATATGCAATGGAACTTGTGTGCCATTGACCAACTCTCTCTTAACAATTGGAAGACAGCTCTGCATCCCTGGCACATCCATTAGCTCCATATCTTCAGAGAGCTTAAACTCAAAGTTATAGAGAATCTCTACAGTGACTGTTTAGATCTCCATAATCCTATAGACTTTGTAAAACAATGGAAATGAAATGGCAAGTATGCAAATCTCCAACTGAATTCCATGGATCCATATCAGTTCTTGTGCTCAATGATGAAAGACATACTTCTTATCCAAGGCATACATGGATGCCTGTATTTATTGCAGTGATAAATCAAAGTTGAACTCTAGAAAATGGCATACTCACTGAATAACATCCTAGCAAAGTGATCAATGTTTAGAGAAATAGATAAAAAGAAGGATGCATACAAATTTGAGTATATGCCAAGAGACAGTTGCCTCTTCTCTGCAGAATTTAGAAATTGACTTGGATTCTATTGGTCAGTGTCATCATCTGAGACTGTTGGAAGGCTAAACACATCTGAGATAAACTATGACAAATATTGATAGAATCAAATCATGTGCTGGTTATAAGTATATAAGGATGCAGAGATAACTTGTCTTTTGGAGATTAGAATTTCAGTAGTGACTCTTTCATTGGTGGTCATAATAGGCTCTGAAAATGGAAGAATATCTTTTTGGTCTACTATTTATAAAGGTATGAACAAATAGATGTCTTTGAAGTGTTTTCTGACCTGTAGTCTGTCTATGAGCAGTGTAATATAAGTATATACAACACCTTTATGATAGTGTTGAGGAATGGCATGGAATTATTATAATCATTGGATGTCAGCACCATGTCATTGTTTATCTGGAACTGTTTTGTCTCATCTTGGATCCACTTTTGGTCATCAGAGTGGCCACTCAGTTTATACAGAAGCCAAGTGATCATATTTGCAGTGGTATCATGACTAGCCAATATAAAGGCACTATTTGGTTAGAGATGAATTTTCATCAATGAGATGTTATGCCAACTGTGATTCAATCTCATTACTCATTTTCTTTTTATCTTCATTGGAAAGATAAGGAAGTGCTATGATTTACAAACTCAAGCTAAGAACAAAATACAAAGAATGATTATTCAGAATAAATCTTACTGAGAATGTTTACAATATCCTTTTTCTCAGGGTCTTTACCATTGGAAGCAACTGCAAGCTGATTCTTGAAGATATTTTGGGCAATCTATTTGGGGATGCTGTTGAAGTTCAACATCTGGTTCATTTTCTTGGAGATAACCCATGATAGGATGTTCAATACAGAATTTTATGACAGTCTCTAAAGAGCTATAAACAGAAGATCAATGATGTGAGGATGTATCTGCAAATCCATACTGACAGTCATAGTAAGGTACTCTATAAAGCCAGTCTAGATGAGATGGCAGCTTACACTACATCATTAAGAGCATTCATCAGCTCCATCTGATTGCTATTCAATGCTTTAAATTGGAAGGAAGCTGATATGCAGTCAGTTCTTTTGATGATGAGAAAAGACATGTTGAGTGGCATACTTATTTTGATTATATCAAGTGTGACTTTGCTTGTCCATTCAACTGCATTCAGAACATGAGAGCCATTCTTGAGTTTCTTGTTCAATTTATCCATGAGCTATAACAATATCACTGTCTGTATATTTTCATAGTATAAAAACAGATGCATCAGAGAAGCTAAAGATTGAGAAATGAGGAGAAATTGCTGCAGTTGAGAAGCAGAAAATGAACTGTTCATTATCTTCTATTAGCTTTGATAGACAGTCTCTTTTCAGAGGATGTCACAGACCTGCTTGGAGATTGGAATACAAATATAGACA